AAATAAAATATTAACAATCTCAACATAAATTTTTGATCAAACCCATAACTATATTTTTATCGTATTACTATTAATTGTATTCCCATACAATTAAATTAAAAATAAATAACCTAAATCTTATTGTTGTTATCACCGTTATTATTTAAAAATTACAAGAATGATATTGCATATCAATCTGATCAAGCATAATAAATTTAATATATACCCCCCTTTAACAATTAATTGTAAAAAAAGAAAAACAATTGACAAATAATCAAAGCAAAACCACATAACGTTATATATTTTCTGTATCATACAGTGAAGGATCAACGGCGGAGGTGAGCCCAGAAGATGAGGAAAGAAATGGTCAAAATATAATAGGACATGGAAACGACATTAACGTATTGGACAATGGTCCATCGTCAGGAGCTACAAATGATGCCGAAATTGACGAAGAAACAACGGAAGAAACCGAGAATATAATTAGCAGCGGTAGCGAGGCACAAATTTCAGAAAGGGCTGCTGCTTCCGGTTTCAGTGATGGTTCGACATCAATTGGTAGCCCAAGAGTACAATTTGAAAACATACGCGAAGAAGATTCGAACAGTTTAAACGCGGATGATAATAATCATCATCAAAATCATCACAATCAACATCATCAACATTATCATCATCATCATAATAATAATAATAATAATAATCATAATTCTCATCAAGGAACAACATCAACCTCACCGCCAGTATCTTGGACTGCTTCTGCTTCTGCTGCTGCTGGTGGTGCTGCTGGTGGTGGTGGTGGTGGTCACGAAGACGATCGTAAATGTCGAAGACATCATAAATCCGAGCACAAGTAAGAATTTTAATATTTCATTTAATTTTATAAAATATCAGCCGTTTATTTTGTAAATGGCCATAAGTTTATTTATACTTAAATTGGGATATTTAAAGGGTTTTTGTTTCAATGCAATTAAAAATATACGTACAGAGTTATGGTGCTTAAGTGTATCTAAAGGTATTAAATTTTACAGTTCCTATTAAAATAATAATGGCAATTATTAAATAATTATTTATTATT